CATGCACTCTGTTTTAAAGGAGCACTAGGTGGCAGATGAAAATTAAAAAAAAAAAAAAAAAAAAGCTTTCCCAGGCCAACAGAAACGAGATTATCATTCCTGTGTTGTGATGGGCAATACCTATTGCCCTGTGGCCTGGGCTTGGAAGCTGTAGGTGAGCTAGGGTCTGCTAGGCTGGGTTGCCAGGGGACCCAAGACACCAGGAAGTATGAATATCTTGAAAGACCCCAAATCACAAAATAGAGATTATTGAACCCTTTTGTTTGTTCAACAACTATTCATGGTCCTTACGCAGAGCAGGCCAGTGCTGGGACCCAACATAATGAAACTCTTCAGTACAGCTCAGGGTGATGGGAGAGACGGACTTAATTTACAAGAGGTGACAAGTTCTAGAAAAGAGGGAAGAAGCTTAGAAGGTTGGAGAAGCCCAAGGAGGGACACCAACCACAGAGAGGCAGGAAAGGGTGATGAAAAAAAAAAAAAAAAAAGACCCTGAGTAGTGATTTCAAAGTTTATATAGACGATGGGTAGCACTGTTAAGTCAGTTGTAGGGAAGAAACTTCTAGGCTAAGGAAACAGCACAGGCACTGTTGTGAAACTAAGAAAGCAAGCCGTATCTAGAAATGAAGTGATTTGGTGTTCTTACAGCACAGAGAGTATGAAAGAGAAAGTGGGACTTTGATAGTAGTGAGGGCAGAGAAATGTGCATGGGGCATCAGGTAGGACCTCTTAAACCATACTCAAATTTGGACTGCATGTAGTCAGCAGGGTGGAATTAAATAATGTTCATAATCGGTGGCTCAGTGGGTTAAGCCTCTGCCTTTCGCTCAGGTCATGATCCCAGGGTCTTGGGGTGGAGACTTGCATCCGGCTCTCTGCTCAGTGGGGAGCCTGCTTCCCCCTCTCTCTCTGCCTGCCTCTCTGCCTACTTGTGATCTCTCTCTGTGTCAAATAAATAAATAAAATCTTAAAAAAAAAAAAGAATGTTCATAATCAATGTGGTCTTTGAAGTCACCTAGATTAATCCTCATCCCCAACATAAGAATCTACTCCACTTATCCACACAAGTTTGTGGAGCGCCAGACCTGTGCCAGGTTGTGAGCTGGAATGGAGATGAGGAATATTCATTCAGTAGTGAGCTTCTCATGGGGAAGAGACAAGTAACCAGGCGATTGTAAAAGCAAGTGAAAAGTCAGACAAACTGGAAGTCTAGTAAAATATGGAAAATTCCAGAAACTGACTCATGACTGAATGTAAGGCAAAAGGGCATCAGGTCAGTGGTAGGCAGAATTCTAAAATGGTTCCCAAGATTCCTACTCCACGGTATACATGGCTGTATAATCCTTTGAGTGGCGGAACTCGTGAATATGATGTTTGCTCTTGTGATGTTACAAGGCAAAGGTAAAGGGATTATGCAGACATAACGAATCTCAGCTTTTATCAGTTGACTCTGAAGTAATCAGAAGGGAAATCAGCCTGGGTGGACTTAAATAGGGGAAGTCCTTTAAAAGAAGGTGCAAGCCTTGCCTGCAAGAAGAATTCAAAACAAAAGACATTCTCCTGTTCACCTGTGAGAAGTCAAGTTTCATGTTGCGAGAGGGCTACACAGTAGCGTCTGTGGAGCAGCCTCCAGGTGTGGAGGGCCTCAGTCCTACACCACAAGGAACTGAATGTGGCCAACAGCAAGCTTTAAGAGAAGTCTGACCATCAGTTGACAATGATGAGAGTCTTAGTTGACAGCTTGATTTTAGACTAGTAAGACCCAGGCCAAAGAACCCAGCTCATCTACACTTTGATGTCTGAGCTGGGGAAGGATAAATTTGTGATACTATGTTACACAGCAGGTGACTGAAAAACCACACACACCCAAACAAGCTCAGGCAAAAAGCTTTATTGGCTCACGTAACTGCAAAGTTCTAGCCCTTCTGCATCCTCTCCCATCTCTCAGCTGCCCACCTCTTCCCATTGACTGTGCTCACCAATAGGTCTTGGGTCATAACCAGTCTCTGGCAGTGCCCCATCTGAAGTAGTTTCTACATCTGACTCCATGAAATATAGCTGAATTGTCTTTGTCCTGGCATTTCCTTGACATGTCCCACTAGTTCTGACCATCACCGGTCTCAGCCTGAACCAGTCATTGTGGCCACTATGTGCTTCTTGATTTGGCCTGAGTCTCATGCTCCACTATTGAGCCAGGGGCGGAACCCTTTACAAAACCTGGGCTGAGAGTGAGAAAGAGGTGGAGAGCCCAATTTTAGTGATTCCTCTAGGATTCCCAACATACCTCGTTAACAACTTTGCCTTCAAAGAACATCCTGCTTCATTTACAGCAATAAAGACTTTGTAATACTGGATTCCCATTTCCTCTCTTCCGTTCTTCATGTTGTTGTCATACAGTTCATTACACTTTTTTTTAAAAAAAGATTTTATTTATTTATTTGACAGACATAGATCACAAGTAGGCAGAGAGGCAGGCAGAGAGAGAGGAGGAAGCAGGCACCCTGCTGAGCAGAGAGCTGGATGCCGGGCTCTATACCAGGACCCTGGGATCATGACCTGAGCTGAAGGAAGAGGCTTTACCCCACTGAGCCACCCAGGGGCCCCTTCATTAGTTTTTTAAATCTCTTCCTTCCTAAATCCCTTCTCTTCCCCTTCTCGCACCCCATCCCCACCCTGCACTGTAGAGAACCACTTAACTACATTCTGTCACTAGAGATTAATTTGCATTTTCTAGAATTTTATATGGATGGACTCAAACAGTACGTAGTCTTCTTTCACTCAGCATAACTTTTAAAATTAATCCACATCAATGCATGTACAAGTGTATTCCTTTTATTACTCAGTATTTTATTTTACAGATATACCACCATACATGTATACATATTTTTTATTTTTACATATGCTATAAATACACAATCTAAAGGATGGCTCATGAGCCAATGGCTTTAACAATTTTAAATGATTAGGGGGAAAAAGGCCAAAAGACTAACTTGTGGCACATAAAAATTATGTGAAATTTAAATCTCAGGAGTCCATAAGTTTTACTGAAACACAGCCATACTGATACACCTATTGCCTAAGACTGATTTCGTGCCACAGCAGTAAAGTGCTTACAGAAGAGATCATAGGACATGCAAAACTTATTTACCTGCTCCTTTACAGGTTTGCTGACCTCTGTAAACTTATTTTAAAGCAACTAAATTTTAAAGTTTACTTCCATTTATTCCATTTCCAACACTCTTAATTTCGTTGCAGATCCATGCTTCTGTCTGGTTTCACATTCCTTCTGCCTAAAGAACTTCCTTTAATATTTCTTGTTGAAATAGGTCTTCTGGCATTGTATTACCTCAGATTTTTAGTAAGATTTTATTTCTCCTTCTTCATTTTCAAAGATTTTCACTCTGGGTTGACAGGTTTTCTTTCAGCGCTGGTCACTCCACTGTCTTCTGTCATTTGGTAATTTTTTGCTTCCTCTGTAAGTCATAGGTCATTTTTTTCTCTGGGATGGTCTTTAAGATTCTCTTTAATATTTTGCTTTTATTGTTTTAGCATTTCTGACATGCCTAGTGTGGGTATACATTTATTTTGTTTGGTGTTCTTTCAACATCTTGGATCTATGGCTTAATGTCAGTCCTTATTTTTGGAAAATTCCCAATCTTTATTTCTTTGCTTGTGTGATTTCATTTGGCCTCTTGTGTTCCAACAGCTCACTGCAAGAAGAGTATATCCTGGGCAGCTGCTCCAACTTCAGCATCGGTCCCAGAAGGAACCACAGGGAACAAATCAGAGTCCAATCAACACGGGAACCCAGCCCCACCTCAACCCAAAGCAGAGCTGTTTGACTGAATCTCGTCTAGACAGCTGAACTACAGTTACAGTTGATCTAGAGATCTGTGTGAGGCAGAAGTGCTTTTGGTGAAAGGACCAGAGAGCCAGAGAGAGAAAGAAAAAATTTATAATGACTGCTAGAGACCTGGACGGAGATTCTTGGCATCACAGCTTATGGAAAGGCAGTCCAGGAAGCAGAACTGAGCCAGGAGACATGGGTTCGGATCCCAGGTGCAGGCCCTGGCTAGGCCTCTTCCCTAACCAGCTCTAGCAGCCCTTCCTCTGGGAAAGCTTCCTTGACCATTCTCTCTGCCCCAAGAGCTTATTAGGATTCCTTTCTGCAGACTGAGTTTTTGTGACATTTATCCCGTCCCCCAAGATTATTCATTTATTTGAGAGAGAATGAGAAAGCAGAAGCAAGGGGAGCAGCAGAGGGAGCAGGAGGAGCAGGATCCCCACTGAGCAGGGAGCCCAACATGGGGGATCGATCCCAGGACCCTGGGATTATGACCTGAGCTGAAGGCAGATGCCTTAACTGAGCCACCCAGGTGCCCCTGTGACATTAATCTCAAACTTACCTCCCAGAGGCAACTATAGTTAATATGTTGTTTTCATCCAGCCTTTTTTTTCTTGGAGGCAGCCTATTTCAGTTTCTACTGTGAAAGTTCCTGAGGCTATCTCCTATCTTCCTGGGGGCATTCAACCCCTAGGCCCTAGCCTCTGTGGCCCATCTGTACCCATACCCCATGTCTTGGGAGGGAGTCATTGGGACTTCAATATCCACTTACCTTCATATTGAATTCTTCTTTCTGCCACCTGGAAACTTCCATATCTTTCTTTGAAAACGGCTACTTATTTAAAGTAAATTGTTATTTTAGCCAGCATCCTCATGTATTTAGAGCAGGACGAAGATCACTGAGTTAGCTTTGTCTACCATGTTGACTGGCAATCTGATTTTTCCAGTATCTCTCTTTTTTTTAAAAGATTTTATTTATTTATTTGATAGAGAGTGAGAGAGAGAATGACAGGGGAGAAGGTCAGAGGGAGAAGCAGACTCCTCATGGAGCTGGGAGCCTGATGCGGGAATCGATCCCGGGATTCCAGGATCATGACCTGAGCTGAAGGCAGTTGCTTAACCAACTGAGCCACCCAGGTGCCCCTCCAGTATCTCTTTTTAAAAAGTTTCTCATATACATAGTTTTGTTTCCCATTTTTCTATTTGACGAGAACACATTTCCGCTTGGGGTTATGTCTTATCTCTACCAGTCTCCATTGTTTAGCACAGGGCTGGGTTCATAAACACCAAATAATGTTTGCTGAAGGGCATCTGATATAAACAAACTCTGGAAAGACTGGTCAATAAGGTGAGTGTGTAAGGAATCCTGAGAGGGAGGGATGTGATTTGGTGAGCAGAAGAAGGTATGCATGTGTGGAGAGCTGTGGGTATGTAAGCTTCTTCATAGGAAATTCACTGTGGAGTTCCCAGAACTGTTCACACAGAAAAAAGCAATGTCCTCCGTCTTCCTTTCTAGGTAAGTCTACAAATGTTTATCTATAGCTGAGACTGACTCACAGGGTGCGATCAGGAAACCACTTACCAGCTGCTGCTGCTTTTCCTTTTTCCTCATTAGAGAAGGCAAGAAAACTCTGTCAAAGCAGGTGATGTAAGAATGAAGCTGACTCAGAAATACACAATCCCCTCAGGAACTTCTCCAAGAAAAGGATTGGCCATTTTATTAGCTCCCATCTGGAGGCATTACACTGAGACCACCAAGAATCCTGGTGATTATGGCCACAGGGAGGCAAATCTGCAGTGTAATTTGGTACACTGCAAGAATATTTAGTTTTCAGTAGATGAGTTAAAAATTCAAAGGAGACAGTGATAACAATCTTAGAGGGAATGAGTGAGATGGGGTGGGAACAGACAAGGCAATGCTGGCCTTCATGCAAATTAGAAACGACTTACATCACTGAAAATCGGTCACATTTAATGGATGGGTTTTTTTTTTCTTAAAGATGACATTTTACCACCATCTACTGTGAGATTGTAGGAATGAATGCACCAACCTGTGGGATCCCTATACTTGTGAGATCCTCTTTCTGTATATGAATCTGCACAACTGTACAATGGAAACGAGCACTTAGTCCAACTGTAGTGTGTGCCAGGCACTTTCCAAACACTGATCATCAAATGTGAACCACCACCCTATGAAACAGGTATTTAGACCCCAATTCTACAGGTGAAGAAAGTATTACAATATCTGGGGCAGGGAGGAAGAGAAGAGGATATGATCAGGAAATAAAGGGCAAAGTGGGCTTCATCTGAATTTATCACAATAAATCACTTGTGAAGATTCTGAGAGGTTAAGTAACTGACCCTAAACCACACACCCAGACAGAACTCTGCTTAGAACCAGTACATCTGCAGTTCTACTGGGTTACTTCTCTGAAGTGGTACAATTTAGCACAGAATCATAGTAAGATACAAAATCTACAAAGTACCTGAATACATTAAGACTGACTCCAGAACCAGACTACCTTGTGACATCCTCTACACATCTGTTTCACTTGGAGAATAGTCTGAATTTCATATCATATACAAGTGGTGGAAATCAGGGCTGTTAGCATCTAAGTCTACTAAATTGGTCAAAATCATTGCTTAGTCTTCAGCAACTTTTATTTCACCAAGGGCTCATTAAGTAAACATTTTCTTGTTAATTAAGTCTGACCCATGGCTTATAATTATAGCTGCAAACTTAAGGGCAGGAGTCTTCTGATCTTGAGATGCTCTTCGTGCAATAATACTTCCATTACTTACTGTGTGTGTAGCAGGGTGGGAAGGTGGAAGTTGGAGTGGAAGATGGTATCACCACTGACTGAGCATCTGCTCTAAGCCTGGTATGGTGCTAAGCATTTTCCATGTGCTACTCTATTCAATCCTCTTCAATCCTGAGGGACATTGGTGCACTTTTCAAAGGAAAAAAAAAAGGTTTTATGAGGATGCACAGATTAGTAAGATACAGAACATCAGCAGGGAGCTCACCTGTGGGTGGGGAAAGACAGTAATACAATAAAAGTTCAGGTGTTACAAGACAGGGGAAAGGCGGTAGTGATGGCTGTGGGGGGAAGCAGGCTGAGGGGACTTGAGATAGGGTATCTGCTCGGATCAAATTTTTTAGACCTGTTTTCTGAGGAGGGAATCACGGACTACTTTACTTCAAAACCTTTCAGTTAACTTTTTCCTCAAGTAGGAAAGGCCCTGGGGTAAGACAGCCTCTCTAACAAGCACGTCCCATGAGGACAATCAGCCATAATCCCTAGAGGTGAGGCACAAGGGAGGAGATTACCAGCTGGGGGTAGTCAAGGACTGATGGCTGAGCAAATACTCAACCCAACCCTAATCTTGGGAGAGAATCTGCTGATGGGAATCTATAGGCAGTGGTGAAAAACTAGATTTTTCAAGAGATGTTCAAATGGTCAGTTCTAATTATAAGCACACTTGACAACAGGTGAGGCAAGACAGAATTTAAAGACTGAGAGGAAATTAAAATTCCCCAACCTGCCAACCAATCTCCAATTTTCTTGACTATTTTAGGACTATGGTAATTAGCCATACTCTGAAGACAATTTTACAAAATAGATTCCTCTGTCTCTAACAGGCCCACTCGAGCAATTTAGTCTTCCTGTCTCATGTATAAAATGGAAGTAAAATTAAAGTTCATGAAAGTTAGGCATTTCTGATACAAGATATTACACAATAGTTCCTCTTACCTGAACCACATTTGAACTCCCAATATTAATAACAAGCAGATGTCCTAAAATAGTATGCAATGAACATTTAAAGGAAACTAGAAGTTTGAGATAATAGCATCTCTTGATTTCAATTTTTAAAAATTGTAGTTAAATGAGAAGATCAAATGGCAATTCAAGTATATAATCTTGGAGAATTTACTTGTTTGGCACTGATGAGCAAGTGAACTTTTTCACTTCTTTTACCAGCCCTTTGAACAGTTTCTGTTTAAGCTGCCAAATATGTTCCTATAAGCTCTCCAGAACATCTTCAAGTCAGGCCTCTGCAAGTTGCCTCCAGGGGTTAGGTATCTCCAAGGCTGACCTTCCACAGGGCTTGCTACCATTTATTCAACAACGATCTTTTCTGCTATTGAACAAAGCTGTCTCCGTGGACCTCTTCATGTAAGCACCACTCAAACTTTCTAAAATCAGTGTTAGAGCTGAACAGCAACTGAAAAGACACCTCACCCAACCACACCCTGACCGAGCACAAAGAGGACAAGGAAGTCCAGAGGAAGGATCGTACTGTGAATCACTTGCAAAGTCCAGGCCCAGAACCAATCCTCCATACCAGGGGGCCTGGGGAATCAGGGTTATCAACAGCATAGCAGGTGCCTGATACTTGACATTTACTCTCAATTATTCAATCCCAAGAAAGCAGTGGCCCCATTTTATGGATGATGAAACAGATTCACAAGTTAAGTAACTTGCCAAGGAGCCAAGTAAGTGACAAGGCAGGAATGAAACCAATCCTGTTTAGCAACAACACGATGCTTTCTTCACTGACTCTTGAGGTCAAAAACTTCCACTTCAGTGCTCCTCAACCAATCTGAATCCATCCCACGTCACATCTCCATCAACCCAGTATTAAATTCAGAGCACATGAGAACTAAGCCATCTATCACACACGGTGTCGGTTGGAGAAGCGTACTGCTCAGGCTGCAGGGACATTTCATTTGTTTAAATGTTTTTATTTAAAAAAAAATTAAAGACCTTCATGGCACAACTTCTTCCCAGCACAGTTATGTTTTATGTTATACCAATTACAATACAATTACAACCAATAAGTCAAGGGGGCGAAGGGAAACTTCTGACTTCAAACTTAAAAAAAAAAGGGGGGGACCACTTCAAACAAAATTAAAAAATACTTAAAAAACCTTTCAGAGTAATTGCCAACACAACTGTCTTATATTGGCATTCCATTTCCTGCCATCTCATCAACGCAGACACAGGTAGTGCTGAGAAATAAAGTGTCCCAATACAAGGTATACAGATGAGGTAATTTACAACAACACAGAAGTTGTTACTCTGTAAACCCTTGCCCCCCACCCACCCGCCCAACTGGGTCTTCTTTTTTTCATGCTTCTGCAGTGACTCCTTAAGTAGCATTTTAAAAACTTCTATTTATTTTAAAAGGCTCTCAGGTGGCATTTCAGAGTCCTCTGCATTCACTTTCCGTCTCCTGCAAGGTCTGATGCGTGTTTAGGAGGTTCAGCTGTCTGCAGCTCCCCACATCAGCCTCAGACACAACTAGATTCTCTGAGCTATAATGGTGGGATGTGAAGTCCCGATTTACAACCCTCCTCCCCACCTCGAAAGGAAGAATTCATTAGTCGTAAGTGTCCTGTTCAAATCACAATCCAGTGCAAACGTATCACAAACTGCAACTCTGGCACATCTGGTGCTTTTAGCTTCTGCACAAATTCAACATGGTAACCCCCACAGCATTCCAGGGCATAAAAGGGTTTCAAGAACAATAAATATCCACTGTTAAGTGGCCACAAGAAAGAAAATCACCCTGCCACACAGAATGTTTTCCCTATGGTTGAGAAGCATTATAAAAGGAGGCTTTAGCTTCCTCTAGAGTTTACCATTATATTCACGAAAGCCACCACCTTGATCAAGTTACTAGAGCCAAGATGGGTTATAAAGTTAGATAAGTTCATTAAATTCAACTCGTGAAACGATTACGCTTGTCTATGGCGCCCAGGCGAGAAAGGCTTATGATCTATAAAGGTAGGAGAAAAGGGAACTAAGACTTTAGGCCTTCAAATATGTTGGAAGAATTTTTCCTAGTTCCCACAAGCAGCTACTGTAATGAAAGAACAGGAGAAAATACAGAGCTGATGGTTTTGCTATTGTGCTTAAAAAACTAGGCTTCCTCAGTGAAGCACCTGATAAACTTAGGTGGTTGGATTACAGTGGAAAATCCACTTTACACACACACAAACACACAAAAACTGGCGACTTTTCCATCCCCAATCCCTGCACTGCTGAGACACAAAATGAGTTTTATGGCAAAGGATCCTTAATCCCCAGAGACGCTTTGGCTTGTGGTGCTTTTTTAAGGCCTCTCTGCCCTGCCCGGTACCATGGGTCAAATGAGGGGTGTATAAAAATGGGGGCCTTGGGAAGCCTCCACGGTACAGGGCTGCAGGCCCCTCAGATGTGAACGTGAGACACCCACCCAGCGAGACCTTTACACAGGGAACTTAAATCTAACCTTGATAAATAAAACCAAACGTTTATTTACACCAAAGAATTCCAACACTGGATCTTTCACATATGAAGGACAAAGTATTATATATATACACACAGCAAGGGGTGGCAGGGCTGTAACAAGAGAGTTCATAGTTTTCCCACAATTACAGGTCTACCATTTCAGGTTCACTGGAGATAGTGGCTCTGCTCCTACCTCTCAGATACATTTACAAGACTGAGGGGCAGGTCTTCTCACTGGATGGCATGTGAAGGAAGGGGAAAAAAGAAGAAAAGAAGGTAGAAAGCTTAAGATGAAACCTGGTGTGGCCACATCTTCCATTAGCTCTTAAAGAGTTGCTAGCATGAAACCTATACAGACAATGTTTTTCTTTTGTAAAAAGCAATAAGTTAAGCCCAGTAAGTAACTGAATTCAAAATGGCCAAGTCAAAGAAAACTGGAAAAGATTTTTCCTTCCCCTCCCACCAGCTACAGAGCACACGGGGAGATGAAAGAGAGAGGACCAAGGCAAGGAGCCCGGGAGGGAAGGTATTAACAGAACTGAAACTAAAAGCAGAAGTGAGTTGGATTTAGGGTTAGGTCAGTAAGACATGATTCATATTGAACAAAAGTTTTCAGGACCTGTCTGCACTTTGGGGAGATTTTCAGCATCTCAATGAAATAAAGACATATTTCCACTAAATTCACCAGGACAACCCCACTGAAGCACTTGGAGTAAAGTGAGGAAAAGTGACCAGCAGTACACTGCTCTCGTAGCTTGGCCTTAAGCTTGGGCTTCCTCCTTCCTTCCCACCTCCCTTGAAGAAGCTACATTTTTGTAATCTCTGGAGAAGAGCATGAGATATTAACCCCCCATAGTGTGGGATGGTGGGGGAGCAGTGGTGGACATGGAAAAATATCTCCACCCAAATGCAGCAGCCGGGATTGAGGCTGGTTCATCTTTGTTCTTTAGTGATGAGAAACTGAATTTGAAAGGAGGGAAAATTTTTGTCCGTGAAATATTCCACCTGCAGGTAATTTTTCAGGGAATCCCCTGAGTTATGAAAAGTTCGAGTTAAAAACAAAAAAGGAAAAAAAAAAGAAAAAAAAAGAAAATCAGCCTATTATAATTTTTTTTTTATGACTGAACTACTATAAATCCACAAGCAACGGTTCAGACACGGTGCTTCTGAAGTATTTCACCCCTCCCCGCCAGGCGCAAGCTGCATCAAGGAGAGCGCAGACTCCCCCACCTCTGCTTAGGCATCAGGAGACAGAAGGGGCTGTTACTGCTGAGCGCCAGCGGCAGCTGGAACAGGCATCCCAAGGGGGTTGGCAGCAGCAATCACTGGTGAGCCTGCCAGAGGTCCAAGGGGTGAAGGGGTTGGCACTGAAGAAATCCCTAAAAGAAAACAGCTAACCGTGAGCCAGATACTAACCACAGAAATCTCAGACACCAGTTTTACATAGTACCTATTTCAAAAGTGACACAACAGTTATTTTCTCTCTCTCTCTTTGTAATCTCTACACCCCAGGTTGGGCCCCATGGGGCTCAAACTTAAAACCCAAAGATCAAGAGTCACATACTCTTCTTGAGTGAGACAGCCATGCAACCCAGTAATTCTCTTTCTGAAGGCCTCTACTCACCCAGATTTCTACAAAGTAAAACTAATTTCAAATTAAAATTAATTTCTAATCAACTTCGAAGAAAAAAAAAAATCTTTTTTTTTTTTTTAAAAGAAATCCAGACTCAGAGAGTTTAAGAAGTCTGTACAAAGCACACAGTTAGAAAGTAGCAACCATGTTTGAATTAAAACTGATGCCTGTCTAGGCGTCTATCCAACCAAATTTTCTGCTCTGTAACCTTTGTTAATACAGTGGTCACTACCCACAGGTGGCTACTGAGAATATGCAATGTCGCATCAAGGAACCCTGCTTTAAATTTTATTCTATTTTAATTAATTTAAATAGTCACATATGGCTAGTCATGGCCCTACTGAACAGCACAAGGCTAGAGCCAAAGCTCATGTGTTCTTGTATCATGCTGCCTAGTTAGCTGGAAGCTTTCAAAATTACCAAAAGTCATTTTCAGTGAGGAAATGCTAAAATTGTGTTTTAGAATTTATTGCCATTTGGTTTCTTCTACTCATCTAATGACCAGAATTACCTATTAGACTGCCCTCTTCAATCAACCAGTTAATTTTCAAATTGTTATATATGTATTTTTAAAAATAGGTAATATATTCATATGGTACAAAATATCAAAGGTTCAGATGAGTATATAGTAAAAAATTTCTCTTGCCCTTTTGCTTGTATCCTTCCTGAAATATTTTATGTGTAAACATGAATATAATTGTGTAACACTGTGCATATAAAAGTCATATATAAGGAATGTGGTTATAGAGTTATCTATTGACTTGTCCACTCCTGGTCTTGGACATGGTTCTGCATTTTGCTCTTTTCATTTCACATTATTCTGGAGTTGGAGCTAAAAAAGAACATGAGATACTTACTCATTCTTTTCTCTGGCTATAGAGCTTTCCACTGAATGGATGTCCTAAAACTGATTTAACCAGTTCCTTACTGGGAGCTGTTTTCAATGCTTTGATATTATAAATAAGGCTACAATTAGCAGCCCTGGATATATATCATTTTGCCCATAGGTAAGATACCTAGAGGGTAAGTCCTAGAAGGTAGCTAGTTCTTAAAAAAACAAACAAAAAAACCCAACTGTGACAACAATTTTGTGAGGGTGTATCAGTAAATGTCCTCACTACCACAAGCACACCCACATGGATGTTGCCCACATGTATAATTCTTAGGGGATGAGCCTACAGTTTCTTTTACAAAATTGTGTATTCTGTACACTCACTCACTCTCAATTCATGATGACTCAACAATAGTAAAAATTAATTTCATACAAGCCTTTACAAATTTACTAGGCACATTATAGGCGCTCTGGAGAACCATTCTTAGACACATACATGCCTATGTATAAATCCCACCTTTATCCCCACCCCTAATTTCTTAATCTTGCTTGTGAGGATCATACAACCATGGTCATTCTAAACTACAAGATAAAAAGATCTCTTCTTACTCTCCATGGTTTGTTGGGGACTTTCAAGTCCCTCTGGGAGAAATTTTGGGACTCTGGCCTAGAAGAGACTGCGCATGCCCTCCCCAGTGTCCCTAAGTACACCGGGTGTCAAACACGCTGAAAGCTGGTGAGGCGACTGCACGGGGAGTGCTGCCAAGAAGAGAATCACTACGGAAAGGAGAAACGCCACAAGAAATCAGGCCACAAAGAGAGAGCAAAACTAAGAATAATTACTGACTTCTACTTTTGTCCCCCCAGGGAAGTTACCAGTGAACTGACCTGACATCATATTGGCGCTGCTGACAGGCGTACTGCCCCCCGGCATGCTAGACGAGCCCATTCGAGCCTGGTCCTTCACAACAGTATCTAGAAAAGACAAAACTGGTTAGGCTCTTCTATTCCAGAAGAATGTTAAGGTGGCAAGAGCTTTCACCATGAATTTAGACAAGTAATACAAAACAGGACTATCTTTCTTGTCAAACTGTGGTAAGGCCAACTCTTAAACCAAATGGGAGGAAGGTGTGGTAATTACCCACAGCAGAGCTAATTTAAAACAAAATGATTTTGTTAGGTTTTAATGAAACAATACAACCTAACCTGGCCAAGACAATAATATATTATCAGAGCGAATTGCTTTTATTGCAGTCCACAGCTCAGTTGGTCAAGCACGGTGCAAAACTGGCCAAAACTACAGGTTTTGTGCAGGTTGATGCTATGATCAGACTTCACGCTCCATTGCAATCGGCCTGTCAGTTTGCTTTAGGTCTAGAAGATTAGGTAAGATTGTAATCAATTTACTACAAAACCATCTCGCCACTCTCCAGGAAGCAACTCAACATTGAGGCTAATGTCACAGTGAGGATAGTGTGGGACTAAGTGGCATTTTCACCCAGGACAGCAGTTAGTTATGGTCACAGACCTAGGTTAAGGTGTTCATACAGTAGATGTTCAAGCCTCCTCGGTTTTCTCCAACGAATGAGTCCCAGACAAGGTCAGATAAAGGGTTGCTATGCTAATCCAACTACTCCAGACTCAAGAAGCATCACCCACACAGGAAGAAAAGCAGTTTACTCGGGAGTGATCATGTGGCAGGCACACTGTTAGAAAACTACAGTCCTCCGAACAATTCTGTAAGACAGCTGTCATCACTATCTCCATGTGGAGAAACCGAGGCTCACTAACTTGACAGCCAGCTAAGGGAAGCTGGGATTTCAATTCTGCTGGGCCCAGAGCTTTCTTCACAACACATATTCTCCCCTGCCTTGTAGAGTCGGCTAGGTGGGCCTGCACAATCTGTGGATTGGACAGTTGGACTCACAGAAATAGGGGTGCTCCATGGCCTCTCTTGCCGTGAGCCGTGACTGGTGATCATATCGCAGCAGCTTGTCCAAGAAATCCAAGGCCTCAGGGCTGACAAGGTGCTGGTTTTCACTGTGGACAAAGCGTTCCCATCGCTTACGGGAGTGTCTGTAGAACCAAACGGGGAATGAGAAATGGACCAATGGGGCACAGAAGCCCAACATTTTACTTCAACATATTCTTTAGTGGCTAGGAGCCCAGCCACTAGCAAAGAGCGATCAAAACTCAAGAGGGTAGGTCTTCTACCACTCTGCCACTAGGAAGACAACAAAACTGAATGGAGAGACTAGAAATAGCAATGTTGCAGAGAAGAGAAATCTGGATCCCCATGATTCTACAAAACATAATTCAGGTTACTATAGGATTAAGTGCTCCTGTGTTAGCAAAGAGGTCAGGTGCTGGGTTAATCAGATCTTTTCTACCCCCACACAAATTCCTGACATCTCTGCCGCTTGGCCAGCAAAAGGCTTTCTGTCAGGCAAATCGCCCAGTCAAGTGGTTAATGAATTTGTATTTTGTCTAGTTCCTACTGTCAGAGTAGACTGTCCGCAAATAAGTCTTGAAGAATGCATTTACTTTTCCTATTACTCTTAGGGTTTTGTCATTTGCTAAATCAAGAGATTTCGAGTTTTGACTCAACTGTAATCCTTCTCCTGAAACCTACAATTCATTCACTGACAGAATCTGCCAACCATACTCTCCACACTCAGAATGCTGGTAAAGTGAATCTGGAAAATGGACCATTCAGTTCAGTGCTTTTGCCACAAGCCAACCTATGCAACACCCTGCCTCACCAGACCACTGACACACTTGCAGTGTTGGCAAAGAGAATGTAACTATTTTGAGGATCCAAAGTACCTGTTCACATCCAAGTACTTAAGGCATAGAAGCACAGATTTTGTTTTATGACTTACCTGCCTAAGATATCGTTGAAACGTGGATCTAATTCAATGTTGTATTTGTCAATATAGTCATATAAGTCTTCCGTCCCCAGAACCTTGGCTATCCTCACCAACTAGGATCAAAAAGAGACAAAAACCCACACCCCAAACACATTACATGATTCAGTCAACCAGTAAGTGAATTAACAGAAAAGGGTCACTATGGCTGAAGTTATGAATGTGAACTCCTCACAATTTATTTAAGATTTCTGGGTGCCGAGGTGGCTCAGTTGGTTAAGCGTCTGCCTTTGGCTCAGGTCATGATCCCAGAGTCCTAGGATTGAGTTTTACATCAGGCTCTCCGCTTGGTGGGGAGTCTGCTTCTTCCTCTACCCCTCTCACCTGCTTGTGATCTCTCTCTCAAATAAATAAATAAAATCTTAAAAAAAAAAAAAAGTTTCTGTGCATGGCAGGAAGGGATTTCCATACAGAATTTCCTAATTATTATGCAATATGACGGTGTCAGGAAAAAGCAAATGGTCTTATAACCTGGTTCCTTCCCCTTGAAACGTCTCCCCGGTCAAACTTTATTTCCCGCCTTCACAACCCAATTGAAGATGTCACTTTTTTTAGGAATATCCTCTTGTACTCAGACCACTCACTCCCACTAACTGCCTTTTGTAATTGGTCTACTCTAACATTTACGACTGCAACTTATTTCCTGATATATTCTGTTCCCTTACTGGATAGACTATGAACTATTTGAGAGAAGGGACTATTTTTTTCTCCCTCCACCCCATATTCCTCAATTCTGCATGGTCCTAACAATAGTTACTGATTTTAACTGAATTCAGGTGCTATTCTTTGACCCATTTAAAATGGCCATTGTGCTCAAACAAGACAACAGTACCTTCCATAAGGTCCTAGAATCATTCCAGATTCTTTTGAATGAAATGGCCCCTTGAGAACAAGCATCAAAATCCAGGAGGTTCAGAGAACCCCCCTCAAAATCAATCAAGAATAGGTCCACACCCCGTCACCTAATAGTAAAATTTACAAGTCTTAGTGACAAAGAGAAGATCCTGAAAGCAGCCCGGGAAAAGAAGTCTGTAACATACAATGGTAAAAATATTAGACTGGCAGCAGACTTATCCACAGAGACCTGGCAGGCCAGAAAGAGCTGCCATGATATATTCAGAGTACTAAACGAGAAAAACATGCAGCCAAGAATACTATATCCAGCTAGGCTATCAATGAAAATAGAAGGAGAGATTAAAAGCTTCCAGGACAAACAAAAACTGAAAGAATTTGCAAATACCAAACCAGCTCTACAGGAAATATTGAAAGGGGTCCTCTAAGCAAAGAGAGACCCTAAAAGTAGTAGATCAGAAAGAAACAGAGACAATATACAAGAACAGTCACCTTACAGGCAATACAATGGCACTAAATTAATATCTCTCAATACTTACCCTGAATGTTAATGGGCTAAATGCCCCAATCAAAAGACACAGGGTATCAGAATGGATAAAAAAACAAAACCCATCTATATGTTGCCTACAAGAAACTCATCTTAAACCTGAAGACACCTCCAGATTTAAGGTGAGGGGGTGGAAAAGAATTTACCATGCTAATGGACATCAGAAAAAAGCAGGAGTGGCAATCCTTATATCAGATCAATTAGATTTTAAGCCAAAGACTATAATAAGAGATGAGGAAGGACACTATATCATACTCAAAGGAACTGTCCAACAAGAAGATCTAACAATTTTAAATATCTATGCCCCTAACGTGGGGGCAGCCAACTATATAAACCAATTAATAACAAAATCAAAGAAACACATCGACAATAATACAATAATAGTAGGGGACTTTAACACTCCCCTCACTGAAATGGACAGATCATCCAAGCAAAAGATCAACAAGGAAATCAAGGCCTTAAATGACACACTGGACCAGATGGACATCACAGATATATTCACAACATTTCATCCCAAAGCAACAGAATACACATTCTTCTCTAGTGCACATGGAACATTCTCCAGAATAGATCACATTCTCGGTCCTAAATCAGGTCTCAACTGTTATCAAAAGATTGGAATCATTCCCTGCATATTTTCAGACCATAATGCTCTGAAGCTAGAACTCAATCACAAGAGGAAATTTGGAAAGAACCCAAATACATGGAGACTAAACAGCATCCTTCTAAAGAATGAATGGGTCAACCAGGAAATTAAAGAAGAGTTGAAAAAATTCATGGAAACAAATGATAATGAAAACACAACGGTTCAAAATCTGTGGGACACGACAAAGGCAGTCCTGAGAGGAAAATATATAGCGGTACAAGCCTTTCTCAAGAAACAAGAAAGGTCTCAGGTACACAACCTAACCCTACACCTAAAAGAGCTAGAGAAAGAACAAGAAAGAAACCCTAAACCCAGCAGGAGAAGAGAAATCATAAAGATCAGAGCAGAAATCAATGAAATAGAAACCAAAAAAACAATAGAACAAATCAACAAAACTAGGAGCTGGTTCTTTGAAAGAATTAGTAAGATTGATAAACCCCTGGCCAGACTTATCAAAAAGAAAAGAGAAAGGACCCAAATAAATAAAATCATGAATGAAAGAGGAGAGATCACAACTAACACCAAAGAAATACAGACAATTATAAGAACATACTATGAGCAACTCTACGCCAACAAATTTGACAATCTGGAAGAAATGGATGCATTCCTACAGACATATAAACTACCACAACTGAACCAGGAAGAAATAGAAAGCCTGAACAGACCCATAACCAGTAAGGAGATTGAAACAGTCATCCAAAATCTCCAAATAAACAAAAGCCCAGGGCCAGATGGCTTCCCGGGGGAACTCTACCAAACATTTAAAGAAGAACTAATTCCTATTCTCCTGAAACTGTTCCAAAAAATAGAAATGGAAGGAAAACTTCCAAACTCATTTTATGAGGCCAGCATCACCTTGATCCCAAAACCAGACAAGGATCCCATCAAAAAAGAGAACTACAGACCAATATCCTTGATGAACACAGATGCAAAAATTCTCGCCAAAATACTAGCCAATAGGATTCAACAGTACATTAAAAGGATTATTCACCACGACCAAGTGGGATTTATTCCAGGGTTGCAAGGTTGGTTCAACATCCGCAAATCAATCAATGTGATACAACACATTAATAAAAGAAAGAACAAGAACCATATGATACTCTCCATAGATGCTGAAAAAGCATTTGACAAAGTACAGCATCCCTTCCTGATCAAAACTCTTCAAAGTGTAGGGATAGAGGGCACATACCTCAATATTATCAAAGCCATCTATGAAAAACCCACCGCAAATATCATTCTCAATGGAGAAAAACTGAAAGCTTTTCCGCTAAGGTCAGGAACACGGCAGGGATGTCCGTTATCACCACTGCTATTCAACATAGTACTAGAAGTCCTAGCCTCAGCAATCAGACAACAAAAGGAAATTAAAGGCATCCAAATCGGCAAAGAAGAAGTCAAACTATCACTCTTCGCAGATGATATGATACTATATGTGGAAAACCCAAAAGACTCCACTCCAAAACTGCTAGAACTTGTACAGGAATTCAGTAAAGTGTCAGGATATAAAATCAATGCACAGAAATCAGTTGCATTTTTCTACACCAACAACAAGACAGAAGAAAGAGAAATTAAGGAGTCAATCCCATTTACAATTGCACCCAAAACTATAAGATACCTAGGAATAAATCTAACCAAAGAGACTAAGAATCTATACACAGAAAACTATAAAGTACTCATGAAAGAAATTGAGGAAGACACAAAGAAATGGAAAAATGTTCCATGCTCCTGGATTGGAAGAATAAATATTGTGAAAATGTCTATGCTACCTAAAGCAATCTACACATTTAATGCAATTCCTATCAAAGTACCATCCATTTTTTTCAAAGAAATGGAACAAATAATCCTAAAATTTATATGGAACCAGAAAAGACCTCGAATAGCCAAAGCAATATTGAAAAAGAAAGCCAAAGTTGGTGGCATCACAATTCCGGACTTCAAGCTCTATTACAAAGCTGTCATCATCAAGACAGCATGGTACTGGCACAAAAACAGACACATAGATCAATGGAACAGAATAGAGAGCCCAGAAATAGACCCTCAACTCTATGGTCAACTCATCTTCGACAAAGCAGGAAAGAATATCCAATGGAAAAAAGACAGCCTCTTCAACAAATGGTGCTGGGAAAATTGGACAGCCACATGCAGAAAAATGAAATTGGACCATTTCCTTACACCACACACGAAAATAGACTCAAAATGGATGAAGGATCTCAATGTGAGAAAGGAATTCATCAAAATCCTTGAGGAGAACACAGGCAGCAACCTCTTCGACCTCAGCCGCAGCAACATCTTCCTAGGAACATCACCAAAGGCAAGGGAAGCGAGGGCAAAAATGAACTATTGGGATTTTATCAAGATCAAAAGCTTTTGCACAGCAAAGGAAACAGTTAACAAAACCAAAAGACAACTGACAGAATGGGAGAAGATATTTGCAAATGACATATCGGATAAAGGGCTAGTGTCCAAAATCTATAAAGAACTTAGCAAACTCAACACCCAAAGAACAAATAATCCAATCAAGAAATGGGCAGAGGACATGAACAGACATTTCTGCAAAGAAGACATTCAGATGGCCAACAGACACATGAAAAAGTGCTCCACATCACTCGGCATCAGGGAAATACAAATCAAAACCACAATGAGATACCACCTCACACCAGTCAGAATGGCTAAAATTAACAAGTCAGGAAATGACAGATGCTGGCGAGGATGCGGAGAGAGGGGAACCCTCCTACACTGTTGGTGGGAATGCAAGCTGGTGCAACCACTCTGGAAAACAGCATGGAGGGTCCTCAAAATGTTGAAAATAGAACTACCCTATGACCCAGCAATTGCACTGCTGGGTATTTACCCTAAAGATACAAACGTAGTGATCCGAAGGGGCACGTGCACCCGAATGTTTATAGCAGCAATGTCTACAATAGCCAAACTATGGAAAGAACCTAGATGTCCATCAACAGATGAATGGATAAAGAAGATGTGGTATATATACACAATGGAATACCATGCAGCCATCAAAAGAAATGAAATCTTGCCATTTGCGACGACGTGGATGGAACTAGAGGGTATCATGCTTAGCGAAATAAGTCAATCAGAGAAAGACAACTATCATATGATCTCCCTGATATGAGGGAGAGGAGATGCAACATGGGGGGTTAAGGGGGTAGGAGAAGAGTAAATGAAACAAGATGGGATTGGGAGGGAGACAAACCATAAGTGACTCTTAATCTCACAAAACAAACTGAGGGTTAATGGGGGGAGGGGGGTTGGGGGGGTGGGATTATGGACACTGGGGAGGGTATGTGCTATGATGAGTGCTGTGAAGTGTGTAAACCTGGCGATTCACAGACCTGTACCCCTGGGGATAAAAATATATTATATGTTTATAAAAAATAAAATTTAAAAAAAAAAAATTAAAAAAAAAAAAGAAAAAAAAAGAAAAAAAAAAAGAAATGGCCCCTTGATCTTCAAGGGGAAGGGGAGCTAGTATAAAAAAACACCATCCATATTTTTACTGACAAACACCAACTTAATCCATAAAAAGAGACAAAAGGATCATAGAAATAACACATATAAATCAGTATGTTGGAGGAAATATTCCCAGCATGTTGGGGGAAACAACTCTAATGAAAGCTAACCACTAGGAGATTCCAAGGTAATGTCCCATTTCTTAAACTACTGTTTTTTTATTTGTATGTATGTTTTATAAAGTATTTTACATGTATATTTTACAATAAAGCAAGCACATTAAAAAGGCTAGGAGAAAAACTCTGATTTCAAAAAGCTAAACTGGTAGCTCTCAAAACATCAATCTGAAAATCAATGTCGGCTTGGCTGAACAAGTGATAAACTGGAAAATATTTTAGGGGCCCACCCTAAGAGATTCTGAATCAAAAGGTCTCAAGTGGGGGCTGGTCATTTGTATTTTAGCAAGATCCATAGTTTCTAGTGGGTAGGCAGATCTGGCCAGCACTAAGTTAGCCCACTGGGTGCCCTAACGGGAACAACATTATCACCTGATCATAATTATCGTGTCCATGGAAAAATGGCTCCTTCCGGAAGATCATACTTGCCAGCATACAACCCAAACTCCACATATCCAAACTATAATCGTACATCTGCATTAAAGTAAAAAAGTCAGTTATCATACATAAGAATGAAATATCATTTCAAAATAAAAATAATTGCTCTTTATTATTAAAAAAAAAAATATATATATATATATATATCACTCCATTGACTCAAAATCTGAAAACCAATAAAACCTTCATGTATTTTCTGTTTTTTTCTATGTCCCCACCACATTTCAAAACAATCCATAGTACTATTTGGAATTACTTTTTCCACTTACCTTAGAAGGTCCCAAATTGTTACAGCCCATGGGAAACTTTTAATGTATAGTATTATTTTATTGAATAAATGTTTAGACAGTGTTTTGTTTTTCATCACCATTATAAATAATGTTGTGAAGAATATTTTTATGCACAAGATGTTTTCTGAATTCAGGTTTATAGCCTCAGGATTCCAGAAAAGCAGTTTCTAGGACAGAGTCTGAACTTTCTATCTGATAACAACACCTGGGAGGACCAGGCATGAAAGGTACTTTCAAGGACTTTGTTTCTGTGAGGAGAAAGAGAACTTTTTCCTCCCTCCCCCCACCACCCCTTTGGCACACGGAAGGTCTTTAGAATACAATTTAGGAAAATCACAAAAGAACATTTTTGAGTTTACCTTAACGTTGGTTAAACCTAACACACAATTCTCAAACTAGCTCTGGAATTTCTGATTAGAGAAAGTATCTTTGGTGTGTCTTCTCTTCAGTCAGAGCAAATGCAGATCTATTCTGATTCTCCTGACATTATGACGATAAAAACAACGTAAGTTATGATGGAGGAACAGAAGTGCCTCATACTTTACACTCGAATGAAAGGGACAGCTGTGTTATGTGCATAAACAGACTACTCAAAAGCACAAAACGACATTTTTCACAAATTAAGTGAAAAATACAGGACTGAAATTTTATCTGCCCTTCTTTTCTCACCTGATAGTCTACAAGTAGTTCAGGACCTTTGAAGTATCGGGAAGCAACTCTGACATTATATTCTTGGCCAGGATGGTAAAACTCAGCCAAACCCCAGTCTATTAGTCGTAGCTGAAAGAAAAAAAGAGAATAAATCATGAGCAATTTTATCTTTCAAGCTACCCCTCACACTGCCATCAGAGTATTCTTAAAAATACCAGCCATGTCACTCTCTCTCTTTTTTTAAAGATTTTATTTATTTGACAGATGGAGATCACAAGTAGGCAGAGAAGCAGGCAGAGAGAGGAGGAAGCAGACTCCCTGCTGAGCAGAGAGCCCGATGTGGGGCTCGATCCCAGGACCCGGGGATCATGACCTGAGCCGAAGGCAGAGGCCCCTAACCCACTGAGCCACCCAGGCACCCTTTTTTTTTTTTTTTTTTAATTTTACTTATTTATTTGACAGAGAGAGAAAGATCACAAGTAGGCAGAGAGGCAAAGAGAGAGAGGGGGGAAGCAGGCTCCCTGCTGAGCAGAAGGCCTGATGTGGGGCTCGATCCCAGGACCCTGAGATCATGACCTGAGCCAAAGGCAGAGGCTCAACCCACTGAGACACCAAGGCACCCCGACATGTCACTCTCTTAATGAAACACTTCCAGTAGACCACCTAAGTGTATTTAGGATGAAAATCAAACTTCTTGGGGTGCTTGGACGGCTAAGTGGGTTAAGTGTCTGCCTTCGGCTTAGGTCAGGATCCCAGGGTCCTGGGATTGAGTCCCACATTGGGCTCCTTGCTCAGTGGGGAGCCTGCTTCTCCCTCTACTTATGCTCATGCTCTCTCAAATAAAATCTTAAAAAAAAAAAAAAAAAAAAAAATCAAACTTCTTGGTTTGGCATACAGGGGTCTCCATGACCTAGCTCCTGTGCTCCAACGAGACTTACGGTTCCTGGAAAACACCATCTCATTTTGTTATTCTGCACAATTTCTTGAATTGCTCCTCTGACTAGAAAGAATGTCTTCCATTGTCCAACCTAGACTAACTGAACATATCCCCATCTTTTGAGATATTAAAATTAGCCCTTCAATGAAGTCTTTTCTAATTATCTAAGTAGAATTAACCCTTGTCTTTAGCTTCCTGAACCTCAAATATATTTAACAGAATCTACAACTCTTTATTGTATATTTGTTTTCTACCTTTTTCTTTTTTTCTTTTTTTAAGATTTTATTTATTCATTTGACAGAGACACAGCGAGAGAGGGAACACAAGCAGGGGGAGTGGGAGAGGGAAAAGCAGGCTTCCCACTGAGCAGGAAGCCGATGTGGGGCTTGATCCCAGGACTCTGGGATCATGACCTGAGCCAAGAGCAGAGGCTTAATGACTGAGCCACCCTTTGCCTTTCTTTTTCAATTCTGCACTGTAAGCTCCTTGAGGGAAGAGACTATGTAATTCACTTCTGCAATTTTTAGAATTCAACACAATGCCCAGTACACAGAAGAAAAATATTTGCGGGGTGCCTGGGTAGCTCAGTAGGCTGGGCATCCAACTCTTGATTTTGGCTCGGGTCATGGTCTCAGGTGTGGGATCAGGCCTTACATAAGGCTCCATGCTCAGAACAGAGTCTACTTGTCCCTCTCCTTCAGCTCCTCCCCCAGCTCTCTCTTCTCATAAATGAATGAATAAATCCTAAGAAAAAGAATTTGCTGAGTGAATGAAGGGAAAAACCACACAAACCATTCTTTTCAAAATATATTCACAAAATCAAAAAAGAAGTAGGCAAGCCCAAGAGGCAACCTTATTTGCCCACTGTGCCAAGCAAAACAATGATCTGAAGTAGTAGTAGGGCCTGCGTAGTGCCTGACCACTCTGGCACCATCTTTCCAAGTTCACTGCTAATTAGGTACAGTGTTTTCCTTGTTTCAGTAATGAAGGAAAATGTAACAAAAGCTACAAAAGCAAGCATAGCCTTTGTATGCTTTTTCTTTTTACCCCCTTAACATTAATGCTTCAGAGCCTTCTTTGACCTTCTTATCAACAAGCACTCCTAGATGACCATTTCTGGTCTGTGGCTTCATAGACAGTACCTCAGCCTTTTCCACCCATACTCTCTGGCCCACGTCTCCTACCAGCTGACTCTTGCAATCACCTAACAGACATATCAAAACTAAACTTTTTTTTCCCTAGAATTTTTTTTTTTTAAGATTTTATTTATTTATTTGACAGACAGATCACAAGTAGGCAGAGAGAGAGGCAGAGGGAGGGGGGAAGCAGGCTCCCCGCTGAGCAGAGAGCCCGATGTGGGGCTCGATCCCAGGACCCTAGGATCATGACCTGAGACGCAGGCAGAGGCTTAACCCACTGAGCCACCCAGGCGCCCTTTTTAAAATTTCTTATTTTATTTTATTTGTTATTTTTATTTTTTAAAGATTTTTACTTTTTTGAGAGGGAGAGAGCACAAGCAGGGGGAGAAGCAGACTCCCATGGAGCAGGAAGCCCGACTAGGGCTTGACCCCAGGACCCTGAGGTCATGACCTGAGCTGAAGTCAGTTACTGAACTGACTGAGCCACCAAGGCGCTCCAAAACCAAACGTTTGATTATTCCCTGCATATTCAGGTCAAAATTTTCACCCTGGATTCTTGTTTCCCTTACACTGCACTGCAACTATCAATTGTCTGTCAACTGACTCTAGCATATTCTGACCAAAGTTATCACATCCACTGCCATCACCACCTCTCATCTGACTTACTGCAATAGCCCTTTTTCCTAACTGGTCTCCTTGCTTTCACTCCTGTCCTCTACCTCTATTCTCTACAGAGCAAAAAGCTTTCATTTAAAAATGTTTATAAAGTCACACAAAGTTGGAGATGCTCTGTATATCCTTCACCCAATTTCCCCTAAGGGTAACATCTTGCATAACTACAGTACAATATAAAAACATACTGGCACAATTCAGACAGATATTATTTTCCAGTTTTACAGGCATATAGTTCTTCGCAACTTTATCAATGCGCAGACTCACAGAACAGAGCTGTTTCATCACCAGAAGATACAGAGCTGTTTCATCACCACAGGTGTCCCTTGTGCTATCCCTTCCCCCTCACTTCCTAACCCCTGGGGAAACCCCTGTTCTCAAGCTCCAATCTTGTTGTTTTGAAAATGGACTCATTAGTTTAACTTTTTGACTGCTTTTCCCTCCTCAGCATGAAATCTACCAAGCTGTTCATTATCACTAGGTTCTATCCTCTTTTTTCTCTTTAAAGATTAGAGAAAGAGAGAGACAGAGAGAGACAGAGCTCGTGCATGCATGAGTGGGAGGAAGGGTAGAGGGAGAAGCAGACTCCCGGATGACTGGCTTGATCCCAGGACGCCGATATCATGACCTGAGCTGAAGGCAGACACCCAACCAACTGAGCCACCCAGGTGACCCAATCTGGCATTTTTCAAAATGGCTGTGCCAATCCATGTTCCCACCAGCAATGCATGAGACTGACTTTTTCTGCATCCTTGCCAGTATGTGGTATTGCCATTTTTTAATTTTAATTGTTCCAATAGATAGGTAATGAATGTTTTAAAAATGTTAAGTGAGAATATGTTAACCTTCTGCTTAAACCCTGCAAAAAAGTTCTGCATCTTCAGAGAAAAGGCCTGACAACGATCTTTACGGTTTTACATGATCTGGTTCTCTCTCCCTCTTTGATCTCATTTTGTTCCTCTCCCACCTGTTCATTCTTTTTTTTTTTCTTTCAAAATTTTATTTATTTATCTGACAGTGAGAGATCACAAGCAGGCAGAGAGGCAGGCAGAGAGAGAGGGCAAAGCAGGCTCCCTGTTGAAGAGACAGCCCGATGCAGGGCTTGATTCCAGGACTCTGAGACCATGACCTAAGCTGAAGACAGAGGCTTAACCCACTGAGCCACCCAGGCACCTCTCACCTGTTCATTCTATCTAGCTCTATCTGTTTCAACATGCCAGGCACATTCTTGCCTCAAGGCCTTTGCACCTGAGATTTCTTCCATCTGGGACACATTTATTTCTGTGATTACATGACTGGTTCCCTCCAAGTGTTGAAATGTCAACTTCCCAATGAAACCTTCCCTTTATAACCTTATTTAAAACTGCAACACCCTCCACCGTTCCCTATTTATGATTTATTTCTCTTCATCACTGTTTTAACTTTTTTAGTTTGTTTTTTTTTTAAAGATTTTATTATTTGACACAGATAGAGAGAGACCCCCCCCCTCCCAACACACACACACAGAGCAAGAGAGGGAACACAAGCAGGGGGGAGTGGAAGAGGGAGAAGCAGGCTTACTGCCAAGCAGGGAGTCTGATTCAGGGCTGGATCCCAGGACCCTGGGATTATGACGCGAGCCGAAGGCAGATGCTTAACAACTGAGCCACCCAGGCACCCCCACATCACTTCAAAAAAAAAAAAAAAAAAAAAAGTATGTGCAAGAAAGCACGCACACATGCAGAAGTTGGGGAGGGGCAGAGAGAGAGAGGGGAAGCAAACTCCCCACTGAGCATGGAGCCTGAAATGGGGTTTGATTCCAGGACTCTGGAATCATGACCTGAGCCAAAGGCAGATGCTTAACTGACCGAGCAAGCCACCCAAGCGTCCCTCTTCCACTTCACTTTTAACCTTTCTATCCCATCATCCTCCCTCAAATGCAAGTTCCCTATAGACAAAAATTTTTTTTTGTCTATTTGTCTCATGCCTGCATCTCCAGCCTCTAGAACAATACCTATTACATAGCGTGAGTCTAAAAGAATCATTAGCTGGTGAATAAATCAACTATGTCCCCAAAGTCTACAATGGATAGTCACCACTGCCTATAAAAGGTGGGCTTAAAGGTGACCTTAAAAAAACCGACTATAAAGCTATCTGGTCAGTGCAGCTGTATTAAAAACATCTGTAAAGCTCAGGGACCTCAAGACACTTGCTAATAAGCAGCCGCATTTTCTGAATATCTTACCTATATTACAACGGTGTATACTTCTCACAATAACCTAGTGGCACACAAACCAAGTATTAGTATACCCATTTTACAAGTAAGAAAAGGGAAGCAAATGAGAAAGGAGTTTTCCCCAAGAGACTAGTTATTTAATGAATGGAACAGAAGCCAGCTTCCCTGCCAAAAGCTAATGTTTTCTCCACTAATCGGTTTCCTTCCTTTTTTTTTTTCCTCAAAGTAATCTCTATGCCCAACATGGGGCTTGAACTTAACCCTGAGATCAACAGCTGCATGTGCTACTAAGTCACCCAGTGCCCCAAATCTGTTTCCTTCTTCTTCTTCTTCTTCTTTTTTTTTTTTTTTTTTAAGATTTTTACCTATTTATTTGACAGAGAGAGATCACAAGTAGGTGGGAGAGGCAGGCAGGGGGGGTGGGGTGGGGAAGCAGGCTGCCCTGCTAAGCGGAGCCCGATGCAGGACTCGATCCCAGGACTGCGAGATCATGACCTGAGCAGAAGGCAGAGGCTCAACCCACTGAGCTACCCAGGTGCCCAAATCTCTTTCCTTCTTGATAGTATTCTTAGGAATATGAATATTGATTTCAATATTCTGTTAACGAGTTCACTCACTTACTAAACATTTATCAAGAGCTTAATAGTTACCAGTGAATGGACAGATGTTGAAGATGGGCTGATTAACTCTATCATACAAGTAAGTAACACTTGGTAGTCTATCACATTACCTTTCTGTGCTCATGATCAATCATGACATTATGGGGCTTCACATCTCTGTGCATAATTCCCATGCTGTGACAATAATCCAGGGCCTGTACGAGGAACAATAAGAAAGAGTTAGCTTGCTGAAAAGTGACTTTCTTAAAGTCTTCTCTAACTTTTTCTTCCATAGTTTTCCTTCTAGCCTCAGCCCTGGGAGTCAAGATTAGGACAATCACTCCCACGTTACTCTTCAGACACCTGTACAAGATCCCATAGTCAGACAAACTCACAGCCTCTGAACTTCAAGTTCTATTCCTACACTGTTGTTTCAACTTCCTTTTTGTTCAAAAACACCCAAAGTGTATACCAACTGCATTACTTTCAATCTCTCCCTCTTGCCCAAAGGCTGGATCATTTTCACAAACATAGGCCCCTCAGAAGAAAACTGGTCTGTACCACAAACCTCTCATTCAAAGAACAATAATCCTTTAGCAGCTAAGAATCCACAACAGAAGTTGGCAAACCACAGCCCATGGGCCAAATATGGCCCTGCTGCCCGTTTTTGTGAGGAATGTTTTACTGGAACACAGCCGTACCTATTTGTTTGCATATCATCTCTGGCTGCTTCTTTGTTACCACAGCAGATATAAGTAGTGTGATAAAGACCCTGTGGCTCACAAAGACAAAAATTTTACTGTTTGTCCCTGTAACTGATTTATGACATCAAATCTGATTTGAAAACCATGTCCAATCTGAAATTAAGGTGAAATGAATGGCATAACCTTTGGGGTTTGCTAATCCCAACCTTCAAGCCAGCTGATGTCACTGGCCAAATTCTTGTCCTTCCTGAAGGGCAACCTGGGTTCTTACGGTTCTCAGGGCTAGACAAGTATACCCTTAACTTTTGAGGTCCTGCTTGCCACAGTACTGCATGAGCCAACGGAAAGATCAAATATCTCTGCTGGCGTGGTTTCTTTAGAGCACTACCAAGGCTCAAATGCAGGCTTTATAGCAACCCTCATTTGGTTAAGAAACTTTAGCCACCTCTGAGCAATTTTCTCATCTATAAAGCTGATCTTAATGCTGATTAGGAGCAAGATAATTGGTGATCCCACTTTAGAAATCAAAGTCCACTCTAAGTCAGCAATCTCTTAAGAAGAGATTTACATAATCCTTAGGACAATGACCCCATGAGGACTGAGTTAGTTTACTGTTTTACTTGTTGAATTTTAAGTAAAATAAAGTATACCAGAAGCTAGCATATGAGAAATTATTTTTGTAAGTTTTAACAATTGTAACTTTCCTAAGGGCATGACAGAGCTAACCTATATTTTTTTTAAAGGGGCCCCAGCTCACTTCTAAATGCTGTTTCCAAAGCATTCTAAATTACATTCCTACTAGATTCTATTCCATAATGCTTATTACCACACTGGTTCTGATGCTATTAACTTACTAAAATTTTATATGAGGAGGCCCCTTCTTTCAACATACTTTTCAAAGTCAAGTCACAGACTTTTTCACAGTTAACTGGACTATTTAACAAAAGGAAGATCAAACTAAAGATATTTAGTATTCCAGGTTCCCTTACCTTCAGAATCTCATACATGTAAAATCGAATATCATAGTCTGTTAACGTCTGGTACAATTGCTGTTAAAGACAAATGCAACAATTGAGCTCTGATAGGAAGGCAATTTCTCTTCTTTGTAGTAATTCAAACCAAGGCTTGGCTCATTTGCTACTGTTCCAAGATCTGTTTACTGGTCTCTACTTCTCCAACAGAAAACTTGCTTTTTAAAGGAGATACTTTGGGTCTTTAACACTGTATGTAAAAGTGAAGACTTACTTAAACTTGTATTGCTAAAGCTATACCCCACTGTTGGGAACATATCAATTTATATACGCAACATGCATTGATGTTATATATCTGCGATTAAGTCTGCTTTTCATTTATCTCCAGACTTTCTCATACAAGGCATTTTGGCACATACACGCCTCCTTAGCAGGCAACTAACCCATTTTTGGCTTACATAGTTATAGGCACTGTGGATTACCAATGGGTATGCAAGATGGCTTGCTGACAAATCTGTTAATTTAACAGAACTATTCCTGTCCCAATTTAAAAGTAAACTCCAAATAACCTTCCAGGTTCCAAAAAGTTGCAGATTTTTTTTACATCTACATATCATAAATGGTTAGTGATATCCTCTGACAGTTTTCCTTGAAGTTATCATTCTGATTCTGAAATAGTTTTTTTCTGTTTTTCCTCCTCTTAGCAAAGGATTCAACCATTTATTGATATGTAACATTCTTAATACTACACTGGTGCAAAGGCCAAGTCAAAAACCTTTACAGCTTGTAACCCAAGAGAGTGTCCATAGTCCTGTGCTGCACTGGAACTAGCGGTATGTAAAATAAGCAGCCCACTGGATGGGATGCAAGTCAGAGATCTGTTGTAGAGGTTTGTGTCATATCAGAATTTACACCACCCTCTCTATCCACCCCTTTTTAATATCTACACCCCAGAGCTTCAGAGGAATCCCAAGGTATAAGCAGACCTTGCTTTACATATAAAATACATTCCTTCTTGAATACGGTTGTTTTAAACTGAAATGCCTTAAAACCAGATCCTGACTGAACATGTGCTATGGTCTTTTATTACGTTTGATATCTGTAGAAATTGTCAAATGAATGGTAAAGGTGGTGAGAAGTAAATGTACTGGTAATTGAAAAGAGCACAAAACAAATATAAGAGCAAAATACCAAGATGTAGAAAGTGGACACTGCTTGTATAGGAGTTTCTCTACCTTAAAATTTAGCATGGTAAGGATGAAAAGCTCTTTTTAAGCAAGTCAGAAGGAAGCTCTTCTAACAGTAACATCACTAAAAGCCTTTCTATGTGGTCTAAAAACCCAACACCTTGAAATGGTTGGTTATATATTATACCTTGAAGTCTGTGTTGTTTACGTGTTCAAAAACCAAGGCAGGGGTTCGTGACTAGGGGAGAGAAAAAGAAAACACACATTAGCAACAGCGCTGGCAGTTTTAGTGGGCACAATGTTTGCGGATACTACGTGGTGAATTTGGTAGTCCTCTCCTTAGTAGCAGGAAACCCTCTACTGCTAGAAGCCCTCCCCACTCTCATCATCACCACATTTAGGTCATTTTTGGGATGGATTTCAAACAGAAGACATGGAGCTGAAGTCTCACCAGGCTCTAGGCAGCCCGACAATGCGCCCATCGCCCATCGGCATCGGACCTGAGTTTGCAAAATGGATTAACACATTTCAGTTTCCAGTGCTATCAGTCTCTTAGCCTAGAAGAATAAGAAATAGTCTGTGGGTGGAGGTCTCTTTGAAAGAAAGACCCAAGCTAGTTAAATGGTATAACTGATTAAGCACTTTTAAAGCAGGACTTAACGGTCGAGGGGGGGAAATAAAGAGGCCAGTTGTACTCTGGGTCAAACACCAGCTCAGCCCTGATGGGCCTTGCCAGCGCCTACTATACTCACCACAGGGTCTTTTACAATGTCTGCCAGTGTGATGATGTTGGGACCGCCTCGTAAATTCTCCAAAATCTTTATTTCACGCTTGATTTTCTTCTTCTTTACTGGCTAAAAGGGTAAAAATGTATTAGTGAAATTACTTCAGAGTATTTCAATACGTAATGTAATACATAAACAGCTTCCATATGAACGCTTTCAAGGATGGACATGTTTTAGTCTCATCTCTGAAACCCCTTCTCCTAGCCCTGTGTCACATATTCTGCATCCCAAAGACCAGGCCCTCTGCAGAACTAGCATTTAACTCCAGTTGTTAGTCTTAGCATGTTAACTTTTGAAAACTATACAAAGTAGGAATGCAAATGGAAACACTAAGATATATCTTATAAAAATCTCCTTGTCAATTAGGATGAAATATGGACTCTTTCCATTCCTTCCTCTAAGTTTATAAACACCCTAGGGGCACCTGGGTGGCTCAGCTGGTTGAACCTCTGACTCTTGGTTTTGGCTCAGGTCAGGATCTCAGTCGTGAGATTGAGCCCCATGCTGGGCTCCGTGCTCATGGCAGTCTGCTCAGATTCTCTCTCCCTCTGCCCATCCCTTGTGCACACTCTCTCCGCCTCTAAAATATGATAAATAAATAAATAAAATCTTAAAATAAGTCAGGACCAACAGCAAGGATGGCCAAACCATCTTTGTGTAGCATAACTCTGTGGGTTAAATGCTGGCCTCGGAGTCAGACTGTATAAGGTGAATTGTACTTTCATTACCTGCCTGCTGTGTGCTAACAGCAAATTACACAAGTTCTCTAAGCCTCTCTTATGGGTAAAAATGATCAATAAGAATACATATATTTCAATATGGCTGGGACACAACCCATAATATCTGTCTAGCTTTATTGCCAATATTCCTATAAATGAACCCCTCCCTCCCTTTTAAAAAGACCACTCTGCAGAGTCCTTTGAGTGTATCTTCCACATTCCTTCGCCTCCACCCATCATTTTTATATCCGTTCTCATACAGAAATTCCTTTCATTTTTCTGAGGAGGGCTTTGGTCCCAACTGCACTTCCTCCACAAAGCCTTCCTTCTAAATAGTCTCAAGTAGTGCTAGTCCAAAAGAAATACAATGCATGTATTTAAAGTACTTGTGTGTTTTAAATGTTCCAGTAACCACATTAAAAAAGTGGAAACAGAAAAAATTTTCAATATCTTCTACAAAAATATATCCCAAATCTTATTCCAACATGTAAATCAATACAAAAATTATGGATAAGCACTTTTATATGTATTTTTTGTATTATACCTTTGAAATCAAGTGTATTTTATCTTCATAGCACATCTCAATTTGCACTAGCCACATTTCAAATACTAAGCAGCCACATGTGGCCCATGCCTGCGACCCCGGGACATGCAGATAGGTCTTTCCTAGGGTGTCAGTCACCTCAGACTACTGATACAATGCATATGATTCTTAGAAATTATTCTGAATATGTATCATCTCTTCATCAACAAATCAGTGGTTACTTCATGATCAACAGTCACCTGGATTTTTTTTTTTTTTTAAGATTTTATTTATTTATTTGACAGAGATCCCAAGTAGGCAGAGAAGCAGGCAGAGAGAGAGGAGGAAGCAGGATCTCTGTTGAGCAGAGAGCCCGATGCAGGGCTCGATCCCAGGACCCTGAGATCATGACCTGAGCTGAAGGCAGTGGCTCAACCCACTGAGCCTCCCAGGCGCCCCTCACCTGGATTTTTAAATACACAGTTTCCCAGGCTCACCCTAGAACTGGTGAATCAGAACCTTGAGAATGGAGCTAGAGTGCAATTCTTAGGTACTTCCTAGGTTGATACTCTAGGTCTAGGAACTACCAAACTGTACTGTAAACTTTTGTAACCTTGTCTTAAGACCTAAGCACATGGTATAAACATAAGCAAGCAAGTCTTGGATCCAGACCATCCTCAAAATCTGGCTTTATAGCTCTGCAGCTTTGGGAAAAGCACTTAAATGTTTCTGAATTTACACTTGCCTTGAAGAACTGTTGTAATGTAAATACCACAGTTAGAATAGGGGCCAATTCAAAGTAGACAATAAATGGAAACAGTTACTGATAGAGACTCCCACAGTCCACATTTAATTCAATCCACAGCACTTAGCCTTGATATTAGAACTCAGTATACTCTGACTAGGAAGCAGGATGATTAGAAGTTCTCTCTTTTTGCTCCAACTATCAGATCTTTGTGATCTGCTATAGTATCTGGGAGATCTTTCTATCCTCCAGGGACTAACTCATCAATCTATCTCATTTTCTATTAAATCACTATTTCCCAACTGCCAGTTTATGGCAAAAAGTTACTGGTTTATGAGAAGTTTCTTCTATAGAATCCTTAAAATCTATAAACTTACAAAGCTGGTTTGTGACAGACCAGGCAGGTGAATTAAACCCTAATTTAACATGACCAATGCAACTATTCTGTCTTAATAAATAGGTGGGAGAGATTAAAAATTTTAAATACAGTTTATGAATGAACTTTATCTACACTTATAACTGTCTTTATAATTACAGTAAAGTATACAGTACAGTTAAGAAAAGACTGAGCTGAAAAAGGTCTTTTCAACCCCCTCCCCACACTCCAAACACAATGACTCCCAACAACCTAGAAGAGATAAAAATCACATAACTTTTAACACTGGAAGGAAATGCAGAGATGGTATTTTCCAGGTGACCACCAATTCAATCTCCATTTCCAAATTCACGTCCCATGTATAGTCACTCGACATCTTCCATGTGAAACATTTCTCACTTGTTTCTTCCTCTTATGTTGTGCATTCTAAATTACACTTGCTCCTTCTCCACTCCCACAAACACCTATCCAAATCCTCCTTCTATTTAGGGCCTGAAAACAGTTCCTGGGAGCTTTTCCTAACTGCCACCTTCTTCTGAACTGTGAGACCTACTATTTGTGCCTTTTGTATGACTCTAGATAACCTAACTTATCACTTTATCATATCTCTATCCATATATCATCCTACAGTTACACAGTAGTTCAGCCTCCAAAGTGTACTTCTATATGTAATTTTGTATTTGATCCTCATATCAACTCTGAGAAAGACAAAGCAAGACTATCTCATTTGCACAGATGAGCAAACATCTTAGATAGGTTAAAAGTACTACCAAGGTTAATTACTTTTAGAGTTTGGATTAGAACCCACATGTTCTGATTTCTAGCCTACTTCTCTTTCTATGTGTGATTAAGACAGACATAAATACTCAAACTTTCTGGTTCCCAAAAGGTGTGCCATGACACCCTAGCAAATTCATAAGGTCTCTGTGAAATTTTTAATTTTTGAGGGAAATACCCATCAACATCCAGTATCTGCCAGATACAGAGTATACCACCGGCCTGAGGTAGTTCATAATTTCAGCAGTAGGCTGAACTACATTCTTCTTGATGGTATATTTTTATGAAGCTGGGTTTTCACCCGCTGCTGTGATAAAAAGCAAATACTGTACAAAAATCAATGTTGAGGGGCGCCTGGATGGCTCAGTGGGTTAGAGCCTCTGTCTTCTGCTCAGGTCATGATCTCAGGGTCCTGGCATTGAGCCCCACATCGGGCTCTCTGCTCAGCAGGGAGCCTGCTTCCCCCGACCTCCTGCCTGCCTCTCTGCCTACTTGTGATCTCTGTCAAATAAATAAATAAAATCTTAAAAAAAAAATGTTGAAAAGGAAATGAAGCTATCAGTGGCCAACTTATTCCAACATTTGAGAAGTTGTGCAGTGATTGATAAGTGTATGTACATACCCTAAAATTAATCAATTAAGGTTATATAAGAATAAAATTATATCTTTCTTTCAATTTATGTACAGAACATTTTAAATGGCACCTACCCTAAACACTTTTTTTTTTGTTATTTGGACTTAAGTAGTTAAAAGTTACTGAAACAATATGGGTGGTTATAAATTGAGAAAGTCTGGGAACTTCTGCTTCTCAGTGTCAAATATATTAAAGTTCCTATGGCAAGAAATTATATGCTAAGTTCCTGGCATATGATACCGCACAGTACAGTTTTAACTAACTTACAAGTTGCATATTGGTAGCCCATTGGCCAAACCTGGCCTACAGAACATGTTTAGAAACTCTTGAGCCAACATTTAACCATCAGGATAATTCATATATAAATATAAATTTCTACTTTCTTTTTGCAAAAGAGTATCAAGTAACATTAGACTTGCACTACTACAAACCAATTTTGAGCCATGGATGGAACACATGCAGCAGTACCCATCACTCACATCCTCCAATCATGGGCACTTCTATCAGATTAGCTGCATTGATAGCATCTGCCTGCCACTTAAAGGCCTGCATTTCTGACTCTTCATCTTTAAACAGCAGAGGTAACAACTTCTTGAAAACAAAAGGATGGACTGTTCACTAAAAATCTAGGAAATCAGAATTAGGCAAAGTCCTAGGAGAGAGAAGACTGAACCTTTACTCCCTTCTCTACCACAATCTAGTTGTAGGACTCAAATCAAATCACTTCTCTTGCTTCAGTTTCTTGATCTGTCAAATAATCTCTTCTAACAACTTCACAGGATACAATAAAATAAAGGTGTTAAAGCACTCCAAAAACCCTTTCAGATGCTACTTTTAAAAAAGGTATTTAAAAAATAATTTGAAGTACTATTACCTAAAAAAAAAAAAAATCTAAATTCCAAGTATCTCTGAAATTATAATCTTGCTCTTCTATACTCACCTTGAGAATTTTAACAACAACTTTTTCATTATTTGTGATGTTGATGGCTTCAAATACTTCACTGTATTTACCCCGGCCTAATTTTCGAACCAGCTGGTAGTCATCTTGATTACTGTAAACAGAAAGACTCAAAGTCACAATGATTTTAAAATTTCAAACCATTGGGCACTAATTAACTTTAAAAACTCTACTACCAGAGGGGTAAAAGAAATAAAAGGTATTTCAAATAATTTTTGTATTTTAAAAATTGGGCTATTAATAAAAAATGTGTGTTCCAAGTCCTGGAATTAGAAAAATTTAAGCCTTTCAATTATTCTTTCAAATACCAAATTGTTTGTATTTCTACTGGCATACCACACATAGCCAGCTTAGATTAGGGTTTGTTGTGTGTGTTTGTGTCCAACAACAGACAGCTTTCCCTTGGAGAATAATTTTATATATTTCTGTCCTCTCATGCCTGGCCCAGCAGAAAATAAGTATTGTAGGAATATTTCAATTCAGCTGCACTTTGGAAGCAGCTGATTTTTAATGGGCCTTTTTATAGGTAAGTGGCTTTCAATATATAGGCTTGACCTCCCACTTGCCCTCCAAGGCAAACCCTGAGAACAGTCCATAGAGTAGAGTTTGCAAATCACGCCACAGATCATGAACCATAGTCAGGGGTCCCTTCCTCACTTTTATCCATATTTCATGACCGCTAGCATCAGCAGATGTAAAATAATAATAATAATAATAAAATAAGGGAAATGCCAACATTTTCTCCCTGTCTCTGATTACAACTTAGATGACTTTGCTTTAGAGAATGACAAACACGGTCCTTTTAATAGGCCTAAATTCTATTTACTCCTGCTGGAGACACTGAAAATCCAATTAACAAATTAGCTATGCAATTTCCTCAAGCAGCTAAAAACAAAGTGAATGAACAGACAAGGTAAAATATACTAAGGACAATGGACGATGAATTAAGGGAGGTCTAGGGGAAGGAAGCTTTTAGGTTAGTGGAATTCTCCTGTGGGACAGGCACAGAAAACAAATGCAAGCAAGCAAATAGCACCATGCCGAAAACTCAGAAGGGCTGTTTAGAGTGTTATTTAAGCAAAACTAAGGCAAAGCACTCAATCTGAACAGAGTGGTTGAAATTTCCTTAGCAAAACACAGGTATTCCTGGAGTCCAAAGCCTGTGGTATGAAGGGAACTGTCAGAGTATCAATAATGATAGGTTCTTGATGGTATCTTTGAAGCACACTGTACCTCTTTGTGCAGAGGCAATAAACTTACTGGTAAAAATCATGGTCTCAGCAGGATGACAATATACCCTTATGCCAATTCTGGGAGATTATCTTTAACCACTTATAGGTTATGTACACCACATGTGAACAGACATAAAATGTAGTACATGGGAGCTGTAGCTTTATGTGCTTTCAAATACTTTCCTTTTTTTTTTCCAAGTTTTTTTTTTTTTTTTAAGGATTTTATTTATTTCTTTGATAGACAGAGATCACAAGTAGGTAGAGAGGCAGGCAGAGAGAGAGAGGGGAAGCAGGCTCCCTGCTGAGCAGAGAGCCCAATGCGGGGCTTGATCCCAGGACCCTGGGATCATGACCTGAGCCGAAGGCAGAGGCTTTAACCACCCAGGTGCCCTCAAATACTTTCTTTTATAGTTGATGTCCAAAGCCTTTTACCACAGTAAGTATGACCTCATCAATTAACTACATACATGTTAGAGGATAACAGATGCAAACATCCAAAAGAGACTGCATAGAGAATGAGGAACAAACAAAGCTGTTCAGGTAGATGGCAACTGTTCAAAATGGAATTTGGGCTGAATTCATGTTACACATGGCTAAACTCATAAGGGCAAATGCTATACGCGTTTAATTTTGCTTCTATCAGAAAGAGGACATCTTTCTGGAGAACTGTTTCATCCTTCAGTATCATCACGGGACAACATTCTCTGACCTCAAAAATATTTTATGTAAGAGTCTGGTGTTTTTAAAGTCTCTCAAGTATTAATTCTCAGCTAGCTGTGAAGCCTGTAGCTGAGATAAGCTGACAGGTAACTCTATGTTACCGACCTTTTATCCAGAGTATGTGAGTCCAAGGAAAGAGTAAGAGACAGAAATAATTTTTACATGGTAAGCCAATCAAAACTTTTAATTTGCAAAGCAATACCTTGTTTCTCCACTGCAGAAGTAAACACAAATCAGGTTTCAATCTTGAGGTTTATAAATGTAGTCAGGAAGGATTCCTGATACAAATTACTCAACAAATCCATAAGAGTCAGCCCTTTTCAGTGTGCACAGTGAAGTAAAAAGAAACAATTACCCCCACTCCACCACGTGTGACTCATAATCCCAGTACTCTCGGGGTCTGTGCGTATTAACATCTGTGTAAACTCTGGCCCTGCTTGGCACGGGTCCCGACATGTCAGACAGGTTGGCGAACGAAGGTGGACTTGATGTTTGGAGATCTGGTGGTCACTGTGTTCAGAAGCAGCTGGGGATAAGACCTTGTTTCAGACCTGTTTTCTTTAAACTGCGAATACAAAGTGCATAAAGGCCAAGGAATTATTTTTTTTAAAGCATATGGGAAAAAAAAATCATCTTACAATAATGGCCTCAAATTAAAAAAAAAAAAAAAACCCACAAAAAACAAAACCAATAATGTTCTCAAATATACCTCTGACTCTTTTACCTGATAACAAATGACTAGATCCCCAATGTGTTAACCACAGTGTTTCCTCTAACTTGGGAGAGAAAACAGTAATCATCATCATCATCATCATAGTAAACCCAGGAAACATAGTTTAAACTGGTCCTAATCCAACTCTGCAGTTGCTTGTTACCTCCTCATCTAAAGTCTGGACGTTCTTTATAAGATAGCCTGGAAGGGAAAAAATGACATCAAGGATAGACCCATCTACATTACTACCATTTATACAATCCACAGAAATTACTGACTAGAACAGCTTTCTATAGCTCACTCTACAGAGTGTTAAAAGGCTTTAGAACAGTGGCAAAGCCAGGACTATAAACCTTCAGCCTGACTGTTCCTGGTTGATGAAACCAATCATCCCTTCCTGGTTGATGAAACCAGGAAGGGAATAAAGACTTGTTCTCATACTTTGAAGTTCAATGTCTTTTTATATTGGTCCAAATCATTTAGGGAACCTTGCATAATAACTCAGTAGATCCTTAGTTACCTCTTGAAAGACTCAAGTCATTAAATTTAAAAACAGAAATTTCTTTTTAAAAAAAGATTTTATTTATTTGACAGAGAGAGAGAGAGAGAGAGAGAGATATCTGAAGTAGGCAGAGAAGAAGCAGAGAGAGGGGGAAGCAGGCTCCCCGCTGAGCAGAGAGCCTGATGCGGGGCTCGATCCCAGGACCCTGAGATTATGAGCTGAAGGCAGAGGCTTACCCACTGAGCCACCCAGGTACTCCCAGACATTTCCTCTTGATTTATTTAATATAGGACCAAGCTTAATAAAAACTGGGAGAAGACAGTAATAATATATTGCCTCAAATAATGCAAAATTTGACATAGAAGGAAAAGTGGTGGATTTTAGAAACATGCTTTCTACCAAATCGGTAAACTAAGTCTACCTATTGGTAAACTGTGATGTCTTCCCTAACCATTCCAATCTATTTATCTTCTTTTAACAATTCCTGTAGCATTTGTTGATTCCCTTTACTCTGCATTGATTAAAAATGTACTAAGTCTCCAGATTTCATAACCCAAGAACACATCACCTATGCAGTTTTCTGGCCCAGATTGTATAATCTCAACTGAGTTACAAGGAAGTTTCTATAAAGGGGGGGGGGAGATACACTGTACTCAAAAATATCAATATTATAAAACATAAAAAAGGCAGGCAGGAGAGAGGAGACATGACTATACACAGTGTCCTGTCCCTAGACTATATTCTCTACTGGAGCAGGGTAAATGATGTAAATAATAATACTATCATACCCACTGTCCCATGGCGGTCAGCCTCTCCTCTTCTGTCCTGCCTGCTGCTCCCTTGCAGTGTATTCAATAAACTTCTATCTCCTTTAGGGGTACATGGGTGGCTCAGTGGGTTAAGCCTCTGCCTTTGGCTCAGGTCATGATCTCAGGGTCCTGGGAGAGAGCCCCATGCTGGGATCCCTGCTCAGCGGGGAGTCTGCTTCTCCCTCTCCCCATCCCTCCCCAGATCCTGCTGTCTGTCTCAAATAAATGAATAAAATTTAAAAAAAAAAAAATTATAATAGGTAAATCTGAGTAAAGAGTTTACAGATGTTCCTTGTACCACTCTTTTGTTGAAACATGTTACTCATAAAAACTGGTAAAACATAAAATTTACCAACTTAACCATATTTTCTTTAAATAAATACAAAAATAATAGGAGCTGTAGCTAACTCCCAGCCTTGGAGGGCCAAATCATGGGTGAACATGACATCACAAAATGAGACTTCATTTTTTTTCCTGGAAATCACCTGAGTCACATGGAAAACATTCCCCAACTCTCATTTACTAGTCTGTGTATCTCTCAGTTTTATCACCCAGTGTTCCTCTGCTTTCTTAAGGCCTTGGCATTCTCTGTGAAAAGCAGAGCAAGACTATTCACTAATGAAACTCCTGAGACTCTCAAGTACTTGTCTGACTGACTCTTACAGCTTTGTGCTTCATCAGCTGGGACCTAATTTATGAACTGGTGGACTTGATTTCCCACTGGGAGGACTACCAGCGGTTTTGCAGCACCCGAAGAGGTGCTTCACTTTACTAACATGCATACCAAATAATCTGTTTACAGTAAGAGTTGTTTGCATGAATGTTAAATGGTTGGCCTTCATTACATAGGGAGAAGAAATGCAAGAGTTCTTCAACTGTACTTCAGTAATCTCAGATAAATAAAGTGGTGTGAAGAGGGATGGGGGAGAGTGTGATAGGCTAGGGATAAAGAGGGGGATGTGAAAAGATGTGAAGGGAAAGTCATCAAAGAAAAACATTGGGGCGCCTGGGTGGCTCAGTGGGTTAAAGCCTCTGCCTTCGGCTCAGGTCATGATCTCCGGGTCCTGGGATCGAGCCCCACGTCGGGCTCTCTGCTGAGCAGAGCTCTCCTCCTCTCTCTCTCTCTCTGCCTGCCTCTCTGCCTGCTTGTGATTTCTCTCTCTGTGTGTCAAATAAATAAAATCTTTAAAAAAAAAAATTCTCTCTGTGTGTCAAATAAATAAAATATTTAAAAAAAATTATTATATTCAGAAATAGTATTTCACTTGCAACCTCTGTAAACGTGTATGTATATTCATATACAGCCTAACATGAAAGAAAGGGATGGGCTAAATTTCTCAATTATTGGCTGGTTCTTTCATACATTTCTTCTTTTGTCCATCCCTTAAATATATGAGCATCTACTATGAAAAAAATACTATGCCAGGCCTTGGGAATAAAAGGCAGAACAAATGTGAGACAAATACGCCTTTAAAAAGATTTTATCTGAGCGCCTGGGTGGCTCAGTGGGTTAGGCCACTGCCTTCAGCTCAGGTCACGATCTCAAGGTCTTGGGATTGAGGCTTTCTGCTCAGTGGGGAGCCTGCTTCCCTCTCTGTCTCTGCCTGCCTTTCTGCTTACTTGTGATCTCTGTCTGTCAAATAAATAAATAAACCAATAAAATCTTTAAAAAAATTTATCTGCAGTTAAGGATAATGGAAACTCACTGAAGAGGTTTTTTTGTTTTTTTTTTTTTTAAGATTTTATTTATTTATTTGACAGAGAGATCAGGAGTAGTCAGACAGAGAGAGGAGGAAGCAGGCTCCCCGCCAAGCAGAGAGCCCTACTCGGGGCTCGATCCCAGGACCCTGAGATCATGACCCGAGCTGTAGGCAGAGGCTTTAACCCACTGAGCCACCCAGGTGCCCCTCACTGAAGAGTTTTCTTTTTTTTTTTTTAAGATTTTATTTATTTATTTGACAGACAGAGATCACAAGTAGGCAGAGAGGCAGGCAGAGAGAGAGAGGAGGAAGCAGGCTTCCCGTGGAGCAGAGAGCCCGATGTGGGGCTCGATCCCAGGACCCCTGGATCATGACCTGAGCCGAAGACAGAGGCTTAACCCACTGAGCCACCCAGGCGCCCCTCACTGAAGAGTTTTAAGCAGAAAAGTGACCCATGTGCACATTTTGAAAAGTTCACTATGGCTGGGGGTGGGACAAGCAGATGAATAGACTTAGGTAGAAAGATGGCCATTAGCAGTAGCTTATGCAAGAATGAGGATGAAAGCTTGACCTATAGTGGTAGCAACGGAGGCAAGAGCACAAATCTGAACAACAAAATTTATGGTATAAAATCAGTAACTCTGGGTGGACTAGATAATGGGATAAGAAGTGGGAGGTGACTTTCAGATTTCTAGCTAGAGATATTTAAAAAAAAGTTTTATTTTAGAGAGTGTGTATGCAAGAACAAGTAAGCGTGAAAGCAGGGAGGGGGTAGAGGAAGAGAGAAGCAGACTGCCCCATGCTGAACTCGAGCCCACAACCCTGAGATCATGACTTCAACAAAAAATCAAGAGTTGGACACTTAACCAAATGAGCCACCCAGGCACCCCAAAAGTACCTTAAAAAAAAAAAAAAGATTTTACTCATCTATTTGACAGACAGAGACAGTGAGAGAGGGTATACAAGTGGGGAAGTGCGAGAGGGAGAAACAGGCTTCCTGCTGAGCAGGGAGCCCAACACAGGGCTCGATCCTAGGACCCTGGGATCATGACCTGAGCCAAAGGCAGGAGCCCAATGACTGAGCCACCCAGGTGCCCCTAGAAGTACTTTTGATACCACTTATGGGGGATAGAAAACATCTGGAAGAGAACTCATAGGTCAGGTTTTGGACTAGGTTAAAATGGATGAGACATTAAAATGGATACTGAATAAGCAGGCTGGAGCTAAAAGAGCCTTCTCAAGCTTTAAATAGCTAACCCTCCCAGTTCTATGGTTAGACATTTCCTTCCCTTATCTACAAATAAGAAAACAGCCTAAATTCAGTTGCTTGGCCATGAATATCCAGGAGAGATTTGGGATTCAAAGCTTAGGTGGCTGGCCTATAAAGTTTTAAAAAACCTTAATTTCCTTATTAGGCACTTAGCTCTCTGAGGTCAAGATCCATGTCTGATTTATCCTTTGAATTTACAGAACCCAGTTCAAGGCTCTGCACCTTGCAGGGTGTTCTCTAAATATTATTTGCTGATGAAATCGAGGTTTTTTTCCCCAAAAATGAAATGAAAATGAAGTTTATTTCCAGAAGATATGGTGCCCCTATTCTGGCCGTGTGGTACGCAGCTAGGAGAACCAGAAGACTGACTCAAGGGCTCTGGAGTAGGAATTTCCTTTGCATATACGTTCTCTCTCAGCATCACAGATTCCTCTCTTAAATAACAGGGCCATGGTTAAGATTTGTCTTTTTCTCCCCACAAAAGTTAAAACTAAGATAATACTGGTGAAACCTTATTTTAGCAATTTTTACAAAAAGCTTGTTTAGAAATTAGGTAGAGTGTCTGAGTCCTA